CATGTGTTTCGGGTCAGCCCCCTGGGCATCGCTGAAGGAAAATACAGCCATAAAAAACGACTGATCCTGGACCTTTCAGTCCCACATGACAACGATGACATTATTAGCATTAATGATACGATAGACAAGGACATGTGCTCTTTAACCTACGTGACAATCGATGATGCCATACGGGAACTGAACCGTGTAGGCAGGGGCGCGAGTATGTGTAAGGTGGATATAAAAGACGCCTTCAAGCAAATCCCCATTCACCCAGATTATTGGTCACTGTTCGGATTTAGATGGGACAATCAGTATTACTTCTTCAAGCGCCTAGCGTTTGGATGCCGATCTAGCCCTAGTATCTTTGATTGCATATCACAAGCCATTGTTTGGATCCTCACAAACAATTACAAGGTCCATTTCGTTTTACACTTGCTGGATGACTTCCTCACCATTGATGAACCCAACTACGAAGCTTCTATTACTATGAAAACATTAACAGCCACTTTCAACAAGTTGAAAATTCCGTTGTCCCCACATAAAACCGTAGGACCAGCCTGTGAGATGGAATATCTAGGTATCATTTTAGATTCAAATACCATGACTGCCCGACTACCCCTGGTCAAGTTGGCTAGAATATCGGAGTTAGTGCAAGAGTTCAGTCACAAGAGAAAGTGTACCAAACAACAACTACTGTCTCTGATAGGACATCTGTGCTATGCCTGCAAAGTGGTTGTGCCAGGAAGATCCTTTGTGTCTTACCTCATTGATCTATCTAAATCTGTTAAAAAACTGCACCACAGAGTGAACATTTCTGCTGAATGTCGTTCTGATCTGCACATGTGGCATGTGTTTCTACAGAAGTGGAATGGTGTTTCTTTCTTTCACGACTCTTCCAGGACACAGGCTTCTGACATGGAACTGTATACCGACGCATCTACTTTAGGTTTTGGAGGTTATTTTCAGGGTGCTTGGTTTTCGTCACCTTGGCCATCATCTATGCAAGCCCATTGCCAAAACAACAGTCGATCCATGGCGCTACTTGAACTGTATCCCATTGTAGTAGCAGCCGTTTTATGGGGCAAGCAGTGGTCAGGGAAAAGAATCTTGTTTTATTGTGACAATGAATCAACAGTAAACATAATCAACAAGGGCAGATCAAAATGCAAAAACATTATGTCTCTCATGCGTATGGTTACCTCACTAGCAGCCTCTGACAATTTTGTGATATGTGCCAAACATGTACCAGGCGTGTCAAACCAAATTGCTGATTCTCTGTCTCGGTTACAGATTGCCAGATTTCGGAAACTTGCTCCACATGCGGCACCACAAGCAACACCATGTCCACAACACTCACAGTTGATATGGGTCTGGCAAGACACCTAGACACTCTATGGGATGCTGCAGTGGCGGCCAGAACCAAGACCACCTATGCTTCTGGCTTTCAGTCATACGTTGCCTTTCTCCTGAGATATAGCCTGTACTATACATGCTCAAGCCTCACACGGGCAGCACAAGGTCTGCCACCAGTTAATTCGGCACTTCTGCAACAATATGTGGCCTTTTGTTTCGGTGAGGCAAAACTACAGTATGTCACTGTCAAATCCTATCTCGCGGGTATTCGGTTTACCTATCTGAAGGCAGGTGTACATACAGTGTTCGATTCAGTGTCTACTGGTGGTCTAAATCAGCTACGAACCCTACTTCATGGATACAAGAAGCTACAACAACAGGGTGTGCCCAAACGCTTACCCATAACCTACGATGTTTTGAAGAAGATTGTGTGTACACTACGCAAAGGGGTGCTCGGACCTCTCAATGATCTGGTAATGGAGGTCATGTGCACCACTGCCTTCTTTGGTTTTCTACGATGTGCCGAGTTCACATGTTCTCGTGACTTCAATGCTAGTACCAATTTAAGTCTATCTGATGTCACCATCGATCATAATACAGGAAAGTGTACTCTCGTGCTCAAAGCTTCAAAGACAGATATTTTTAGACAGGGCGTAGTCATTCCCTTGTTTGCCAACCAATCTCCCATTTGCCCTTTTGCCAATTTGAACCGCTTAAAGCAAGTAAGACTATCACATGGTGGTAGGGACAGTGATCCTCTGTTTGTTGACTGTGTTGGAAAAGCCATATCCCGTACCATGTTCCTGCAATGGCTCAACATGCCCATGAAACATGCACACCTTGACGCAGCTAAATACTCTGGACACTCTTTTCGCATAGGGGCAGCGACCTCCGCTGCAACTGTTCGTATGGAAGATCACCTCATAAAAACACTGGGCAGGTGGCAGTCAGACTGTTTTACACGTTATATTCGGACCCCAGAGGACGTTATTAAGAATGCTCAGTTGTCTTTAATTTCTTGTCCATAATACCCAGTACAGGGACATCTCTGATCAGCTGCGTTGAATTGGTTGTGTTGGTCATTCCTTTTGTACGATGTTGATGGATCTTGTGATCCCTCTCTATATTGTTGCACACAATGTACCTTCCTTACCACACCTAGCACAACTTGGGGGCACTCACTCTTGTAAGGGGGTACCCTTCCAATCACTTGCTTTGGGCTATTTCCACTCATCTAGAGTGTCTTTTTCTCCCCCAAGTCCAAACCAGAGCTCAGGTCGCAGCCCCGGTCCGCAGACCACCGTCCGAGCCGCCGCAGCGGCCCCAGGACCCTCGCCTAGCTCTCGGTCGTCCCTCTCCTTGTAAATAAGCTAGCACCAAAGGTCCGCAGACCACCGTCCGAGGCGCCGCAGCGGCCCCAGGACCCTCGCTTAGCTCTCGGTCGTCCCTCTCCTTGTAAATAAGCTAGCACCAGAGCTCAGGTTGCAGCCCCGGTCCGCAGACCACCGTCCAAGCCTCATAGCGGCTCCAGGACAGCACCTAGCTCTCGCTCAGCCCTCCTCTGTGATAAAAATCAGTCAGCTCCCAAGTTCGTGCCAAAACCATTATATGTATGTGTTTGTTATAATGTACATTAAATATTTTTGCATTCTACCTCATTGCTTGTTGTGTTTGCACAAAATGATAATTTAATATTGTGGTTTGTGCAAATTCAACGTATTTTGTTTTCTACATGCATGTCCAGTGTATTATAAAATTTATTCTCATGTACGTGTTTATGTTGCGCTACAACTATCCCTCGTAAGGTTTCAAATTCCCCTTCTGCGCATGCGCACGGGAGCCCCTTTTTACCCATAAGCCCTGTGTCTCTCCATTCCTCTCCCAAAGCTAGAAGGACAACAACACTCGCTACAAAATTGCCATACCCGCCAGCCCACCCTCTCTTCACCGGCTTAGGTGCTCACCTTTGTACCATTTTGCTGCTGCTTTGTAAATATGTACAGTTTTCAATTTTGCCTTTTATTGTCAGGGGCTGACTGATTGGCCTATCATTGGCCAGGCTATTTCCACTCATCTAGAGTGTCCTTTTCTCCCCCAAGTCCAAACCAGAGCTCAGGTCGCAGCCCCGGTCCGCAGACCACCGTCCGAGCCGCCGCAGCGGTCCCAGGACCCTCGCCTAGCTCTCGGTCGTCCCTCTCCTTGTAAATAAGCTAGCACCAAAGGTCCGCAGACCACCGTCCGAGCCGCCGCAGCGGCCCCAGGACCCTCGCTTAGCTCTCGGTCGTCCCTCTCCTTGTAAATAAGCTAGCACCAGAGCTCAGGTTGCAGCCCCGGTCCGCAGACCACCGTCCAAGCCTCATAGCGGCTCCAGGACAGCACCTAGCTCTCGCTCAGCCCTCCTCTGTGATAAAAATCAGTCAGCTCCCAAGTTCGTACCAAAACCATTATATGTATGTGTTTGTTATAATGTACATTAAATATTTTTGCATTCTACCTCATTGCTTGTTGTGTTTGCACAAATTAAGTCTTACAGTTCGTGAAATGCAGTCTTAGCTATTAAACTATATATCACGTGACTAGCCACGGGTCCAGGTAGTACTGTGGTTACCCAGGTCCTACTGAGGAACCACCCGACCCGAGTACCAAAGTTAGCCATCTCAGCCCTTGAGGACATCACCTTTATAAAACATTTATCATTATCCCCCATCGCGCGAAAGCGCGAAGCGGGGGATATAGTATTCACGACCGTCCGTACGTCCCACCTGTTTGTTGCCGCGATATCTCAAGAACTAAACACTGGATTGTCTTCATATTTGGAACTATGGTGTATATACAGACTCCGCAGACACCAGTCGGTTTTGGTGACCTTGACCCCCATTTTCAAGGTCACAGCAGGCATATCTGCTTTTGGAGTTGGAAAACGGTGTTGCCGCGATATCTCAAGAACTAATCGCTGGATTGTCTTCATATTTGGAACTATAGTGTATATACAGACACCGCATACACCTGTCAGATTTGGTGACCTTGACCCCATTTTCAAGGTCACAGCAGGCAAATCTGTTTTTGGAGTTGGAAAACGGTGTTGCCACAATATCTCAAGAACTAATCGCTGGATTGTCTTCATATTTGGTACTATGGTGTACAGGCGGGGGATATTTCGTCACTCTGTGACAAATACTTGTTATAAGATAGTTTCTATTTGACCATCTGTGTTGTTTTTTAAAATGAATATCCATTAACAAGGTGTTATAGTAAGTGAGTATGGTTTTATGCCGCTTTTAGCAATATTCCAGCAATATCAAGGCAGGAGACACCAGAAATGGGCTTCACACATTGTACCCATGTGTGGAATCCAACCCGGGTCCTTCGGCGTGACGAGCGAACGTTTTAACCACTAGACTACCCGACCGACCAACAAGGTGTTAAAGTAGATCATATTTAGGGTGATAGACAATGCCTTGTACTAAGTGGTCAAATCTGGGTGGCTGAGTGGGTTAGGTCAGTGTATGCTGGTAATTAGGTGCCTTACTCTGAGAGTATGGGTTTGAATCCTGAATGGGACTCAACCCATACTACTTGACTACTAGTGTTTGTATGTTACTAAGAAAGTGTTATCACAAATATAAAATATTTGAGGTGCAATATTTCTGTGTCTGTTGTTTCAGCGGAAGACAGTGAAGAAAGCCAAGGACCGTGTGGAATCATCCTGACAGCGTTATCATATTTTGTCGTCTTCATCACGTTGCCTCTCTCACTGTGTGTCTGTATCAAGGTAGGCCATGTCTTAACGTTGTTGCACTTCTTTGAGTTCCAACCTGGAGATTCTGGGACGGTAAAGCAGGCCTAAGTTCTGTATATCGGTTACAACTTGGAACTGGGCCCCGTTGCACAAAGCGAAATTAGTAGTGTTAAGACACTTTTAACTCACATACTTAAACATAGGCTTACGATAGTCGTAGCGCTAAGATCGCTTTGTGGAACGGGCCCCAGTACCCCATTCCAAGCGATCGTAATGCTATGACTTTGTAAGTCTATGTTACAGTATGGGAGTTTTGATCATCTTAGCCCATGATTGCTTGGTGACACAGGGCCCAGGTGATTACGACATGAGAATTGAATTGGTGTCATTGTACCCTGACCGTGTGGATGGGTGCTCATGCTATCAACCACTGGCTGGTTTTATATTATTACAGTTTATTACATGCTAGATGCGACACATAATGATCTGGGGAGTAATTACATCTTCAGCAACCCATGTTTGCCGTAAAAGTGCTTGTTGTAGGAGGCAACTAATGGGATCGGGTGGCCAAGCTCTCTGACTTGGTTGATGCATGTCATCGTATCCCAATTGCATAGATTGACGTTCATGATGTCAGTCACTGAATTGTCTGGTCCAGACTTGATTATTTGCAGACCGCCGTCATATAGCTTGAATATTGCTGAGTGCAGAGTTAATCAACAAGCAAACAAACAATGATGGAGTTTGTAAATAATCGAGTCATGAGCATCATATAGAAGCCATGGCCAATTCTTAGCCATTCTTGTTCATAATGAAATAGAATTTGGTATTGGTGTAGTAAGTAGTGAGACTCAACATATGTGGTCCGTTTTTCAATTTTTTTCATACCGATACCGATTTGACTTTTGAACTTTGGACCATGCTCTTAATTCTCACAAATTCAGCCTAGGCTCTGTAAACACATTTTTCACAGACTGTTCCCACCAATGATGACACCGCGAGTGCTCAGAATTCATGTACATACCATTGAAATGTCAGTGCTGACATCATTGTTTGTTATGTGGCTGTCTTTGTTGACATTTGACTAAATATCAACGTGAGCTACAGTGCTATGGCATGTATGAATTTCGAATTGATATATTTTGCCTAGCAACACAAACATCCATGTTCCGTTAAAGAACATACTCAACCACTTTTATTGAACTGGAGATCAGTACAGAAAAAATGATTGCTGTTTTTCAAATTTGTATATTTGTGTTGTTTAAAAAGACCAAAAGTTGGTCATTCAGGAGTAAATAAGATTGCGTAAGATTGATAAGCAAATGTCAAATAATGAGCGGTGACTTCTGGAGGTAGTTATTATAAATAACTGTAAATTCCTATTCATGGGTAATAAAGCTTTCTTCCATTGCCAAATTGATCTTGGCAAACTTTGTAATGTGTTTGGTTTGTCCCCTGCAATCTATTCTATAGTTCTATAAGCAGGCACAGCCAAGGAAGAGAGCCTATATAGATGGCAATCTCTGTTATTGGACATTCTGGAAGCCGGTTGCAGTTAAAATAGTTCTGGGATCCTGATATTTGGGATATTTTGTGATTTAATGTCTTTGCCTTGAACTTGTTACTATGACATTGGAGATGGGGGGAGAAGATGGGGAAGAAATGAACATTGAGGAAGGGAAGGGGAGATTGAGGTGGAAGGGGAGACTGAGGAAGGGGAGGGGAGATTGAGGAAGGGGAGGAGAGATTGAGGAAGGGGAGGGGAGATTGAGGAAGGGAAGGGGAGATTGAGGAAGGGAAGGGGAGATTGAGGAAGGGGAGGGGAGATTGAGGAAGGGGAGGGGAGATTGAGGAAGGGAAGGGGAGATTGAGGAAGGGAAGGGAGGTTAAGGAAGGGGAGGAGAGATTGAGGAAGGGAAGGAGAGATTGAGGAAGGGAAGGGAGGTTAAGGAAGGGGAGGAGAGATTGAGGATGGGAGGTTAAGGAAGGGAAGGAGAGATTGAGGAAGGGAAGGGGAGATTGAGGAAGGGAAGGGAGGTTAAGGAAGGGGAGGAGAGATTGAGGAAGGGAAGGGGAGATTGAGGAAGGGAAGGGAGGTTAAGGAAGGGGAGGAGAGATTGAGGAAGGGAAGGGGAGATTGAGGAAGGGAAGGGGAGATTGAGGAAGGGGAGGGGAGATTGAGGAAGGGGAGGAGAGATTGAGGAAGGGGAGGGGAGATTGAGGAAGGGAAGGGGAGATTGAGGAAGGGAAGGGAGGTTAAGGAAGGGGAGGAGAGATTGAGGAAGGGAAGGAGAGATTGAGGAAGGGAAGGGAGGTTAAGGAATGGGAGGAGAGATTGAGGATGGGAGGTTAAGGAAGGGAAGGAGAGATTGAGGAAGGGAAGGGAGATTGAGGAAGGGAAGGGAGGTTAAGGAAGGGGAGGAGAGATTGAGGAGGGGAGATTGAGGAAGGGAAGGAGAGATTGAGGAAGGGAAGGGGAGATTGAGGAAGGGAAGGGGAGATTGAGGAAGGGAAGGGGAGATTGAGGATGGGAGGTTAAGGAAGGGAAGGAGAGATTGAGGAAGGGAACGTGAGATTTAGGAAGGGAAGGGGAGATTGAGAAAGGGAACGTGAGATTGAGGAAGGGGAGGAGAGATTGAGGAAGGGAAGGGAGGTTAAGGAAGGGGAGGAGAGATTGAGGATGGGAGGTTAAGGAAGGGAACGGGAGATTGAGGAAGGGAAGGGGAGATTGAGGATGGGAGGTTAAGGAAGGGAAGGAGAGATTGAGGAAGGGAACGTGAGATTGAGGAAGGGAAGGGGAGATTGAGGAAGGGAACGTGAGATTGAGGAAGGGGAGGAGAGATTGAGGAAGGGAAGGGAGGTTAAGGAAGGGGAGGAGAGATTGAGGATGGGAGGTTAAGGAAGGGAAGGAGAGATTGAGGAAGGGAAGGAGAGATTGAGGAAGGGAAGGGGAGATTGAGGAAGGGAAGGGGAGATTGAGGATGGGAGGTTAAGGAAGGGAAGGAGAGATTGAGGAAGGGAACGTGAGATTGGGGAAGGGAAGGGGAGATTGAGGAAGGGAACGTGAGATTGAGGAAGGGGAGGAGAGATTGAGGATGGGAGGTTAAGGAAGGGAACGGGAGATTGAGGAAGGGAAGGGGAGATTGAGGATGGGAGGTTAAGGAAGGGAAGGAGAGATTGAGGAAGGGAACGTGAGATTGAGGAAGGGAAGGGGAGATTGAGGAAGGGAAGGGGAGATTGAGGAAGGGGAGGAGAGATTGAGGAAGGGAAGGGGAGATTGAGGAATGGGAGGAGAGATTGAGGATGGGAGGTTAAGGAAGGGAACGGGAGATTGAGGAATGGGAGGAGAGATTGAGGAAGGGAAGGGGAGATGGAGGAAGGGAAGGGGAGATTGAGGAAGGGAAGGGGAGATTGAGGAATGGGAGGAGAGATTGAGGATGGGAGGTTAAGGAAGGGAACGGGAGATTGAGGAATGGGAGGAGAGATTGAGGAAGGGAAGGGGAGATGGAGGAAGGGAAGGGGAGATTGAGGAAGGGAAGGGGAGATTGAGGAAGGGAAGGGGAGGGAAGATGGAGGAAGGGGAAGGGAGATTTAAAGAAAGGGAACAGAGATTGGGGAAGGGAAAGATAGAAATATGGGAATGGGAAAATTTAGGAAGGGGGAGGGGAAATGGAGGGAGGGTAGATAATGAAGGAGAGGAGAAGAGATTGAGGAAAATGTGTGGGGAGGGGAGAGAGAAGGGGAGGGGAAGGTAGACAAAGGGGGAGGGGTGGGAGAGTAAGGTACCAGCAAAGGTGGACCTCAGGTGAAAAGCTTGTCAGTAATATTCACCCATGTATCAAATTTAACACAACACAACTGATCACCCAGGCCGGGCACAGCCACAATGTCTGCTGAAATATTCAATAAAGTGTGAAAAGGTGATGTGGAAAGTTCAGTATCTATTGATAGGTGCACTTATTCCTGGAAATCTGAAGAAAAGTCATGGATAAAGTTAGAAATGCAGTTTGATGCTTACATAAGCAAAGGGGGTGCCACAGTGGTATCTCACATCAATCTGCTGGTTGTGAATTTAAGATTCACCTTCATTCACCTTGATTCAACCTTGTGGGTTTCACAAAGTGGTACACATCAATGACCTGGGCCCCGTTCCACAAAGCGACCGTAGCGCTAAGATGATTGTAACTCCCATACTTTAACATAGACTTACGAAAGACTTAGCGCTAAGATCGCTTTGTGGAACGGGGCCCTGGTCAACTTCCAGCTTTCCTCCCACATTTGGCTGACCCACACTGATAAAACTGAAGTGTTCAAAGTGTTAATCTCAGCTTACTCACTGACAAGTAGGGTGCAGGTTGTTGATATCAGCTTCACACAATTCATGTCAGGTTTAATACCGATGTGTGTGATGTGACTTGAGCACTGGCAGGTAGCAGCAATGGCCATGTATGATAATGAAGTGAATGTTTATTTGTGAAACATTACTCGCTTTTATCAATTTGGAGACATTTTTGTGTATGTTATATTTGTTCTTAAGCTACACTCAGCAATTTTCCAGCTATATGATGGCGGTCTGTAAATAATGGAGTCTGGACCAGACAATACAGTGATTGAGATCATGAGCATCGGTCTATGCAATTTGGATACGCAATTAGTGAGCCTGACAACCTGATCCCATCATCGCCTCTTACGACAAGCATTGGTTGCTGAAGTCCTATTCTGACCTGGATCTTCACTAGGGGAGACAAGCATGGGTTGCTAAAGACCTATTCTGACCTGGATCTTCACTAGGGGAGACAAGCATAGGTTGCTGAAAACCTATTCTGACCTGGATCTTCATTAGGGGAGACAAGCATGGGTTGCTGAAGACCTATTCTGACCTGGATCTTCACTAGGGGAGACAATCATTGGTTGCTGAAGGACTATTCTGACCTGGATCTTCACTAGGGGAGACAAGCATGGGTTGCTGAAGACCTATTCTGACCTGGATCTTCACTAGGGGAGACAAGCATGGGTTGCTGAAGGCCTATTCT